CAGCTAAAGGAATGAACACTAAAGAGGGACACCACCTTATAGTGGTCCTGGGCATGAACTGCAAGCAAACCATTCTGGGTTGGAGTCCTGGTTACTCCCTTATGACCTTGGGAAATTAATCTCTCTGAGACCTCCACTTCCATTCTGTAAAGTAAGGCTCAGTAATAAGTACCTGCCTGAGGGAGACTATAATTTATACGATTGCCTAATCAATAGTGAATAGGGCATCAAAAAGACGTACTCTAGAAAATCAGTTAGAAAATAACCCAGTTAGGTGGGTTATTATAATAGTTAATGCCCTCCACTGATAGGATAACCAGAACTCTCTTTTGCCTGTTTTCAAGTTTTGACTAATTTCCCATATCATTAGCAAGAACTTGTAAATGTTATTATTATATTGTAATATTTTTATTATCATACTCTGACATACACATTTTATACAAATACAATACAGAAAGCATAACCCTGAGCAGCAAAACAGAAGTAAATGGGCTCTCTTATGGTTGTTCAAAACACCTGTTCTGTCCACATTGATAAAGAAATTTCTTTATATATATATGCTGTAAAGCACTCCCTTGAATTGGAAGATAAAAATGCGGTCTAATCAGACGCCCTCTCATTCACCACTTGTCAGCTTTAAGACCTCCCTTTCTGTTGGGTTGTTGGGGGCAGACCACTTGGGATCAAACCCCATTTCTGCCCCATCCATGGTGGGTCCTGGGTCTGGTGTGTGCTGAGGTCTGCTGAACCAGAGGGAAGAGGCACTGGGGGCTGGGAAGGGAGGAAAACTGGGAGGTTTGGGGACATGGTGTTTAGAGACTTGGGTCGTAGCAACATGTGCAGAAACATGTCTGGTGGGCAAGGACGTTCCTCCTTAGCAATTATACTATAGGATATATAGAGATTACCTGTTTCCCCCCCCCTTAAAATGTTAGTGTCCTGTATTTTCCGCGTTGGCCATGCTAGGGAAGTGGGGGCAGATGGCAGAGAGGAGGGTTGCAGTCAGACAGTTAATGTCATGTGTCTCAGATTCCTTATTTATACAATGAGGCGTTTAATGCCTATCTGAAAAGGTTCTGTGAGAATTGAACTGTAAGTTTGGAAATCACCTGAAATTCCTCCCGAGTGTTCGTTTACTTCATCCACCCCACAAGCATTTAGTGAGGACATTTGTGCCCTCAGTCCCCGGGCACCGGGTACCACTGTCCCCTTCCCTGCACACTGTGCTTACCACGTCTTCCCCCAAACCTTGCAGGGTCCTTATGAAAGGTAGCGCATGCTATGGTTCATTTCACAGCATAAAAACCGTTTTGTGAAATGTATTTCTGCCTTTAAGATGATCATTTCCAAGGAACTGTCTTCTTAAATACCCCTCCAACTAGCTGAGAAGCTCGCTCCAGAAGCGCTCACACCAGGGGCATCCCCAGGGGCCCTGCTGATCACTCCCAATGAAAACACTCCTTTAGGACCTGAGGACATCTTCCCTGCCACCAGCCCATCAGCCCTCTGGCCCTGCCTGTGGGTGGGGTGGACCTTTATCTACCTTAAAAGGGCGCTGAAATAGGAGCCTGCCCCTAACATATCTCCTTATCAATCTACCTTCATCCCATTATTAAAGAGATCTGAGCCAAGGTCCTCAAAAGGCTCTTTTGAAAGCAGGTACTTGACGTGAATGAGTTGATGAAATTGATTAGCAGTCCCATGGGACCCTAGAGATCACTTTTTAAAAAGGATTAGAGGGCAGAAGAACCTCCAGTTGGGAGGAAGAGGTAGAGACAAGAAAACAAACCGCAGACAGGGTTTTTCAAGCCCACCTTGGGAGTGCCCTGCTCTCTCGCCTCAGCCTCTTTCAGTCCAGCTTCTTGAAGAGTGGAGACCCCAGGGGCTGGGCTCCCTTTTTGCTCTGCCTCAGTGGACAGCGTGTCTCCATTTCCTGGTTTCACCATGAACTATCAATTAGGTGATTGCATGAATTTTTTTTCAGCCCTACAGTCAACGCATCCTGCTTCTACAGTGGATTCTTGTTCCTGGTTTTACTACCCAAGGAAAGGAAAGAAAAGAGAATGATGCAGCTGACTTTTGGGGAACATTCCAGAAAAACGTAGCACAAGAGAGGAGAGAGAGAGCAGGGCCTGGGAAAGATAGAGGGCGAGGTTGTGGGGACAGCAGCAGGAGGGAGCCCCCAGCACGTGGCTTGGTCTGTTTATGCTCATGGGCCTTTCTGACCAGTAGGGTTTATTGAACAATGTTCCACAGAAGCCCAGTGTTCCTTAAACAATTGAAGAAGAACGCTATGATCCTTTGGAAAATAATTCAAATCTTTTCAGCATTAGAGCACTGATCAAATTATACTACAGCATCTTTCTTTGTGTCTGACAAATGTTTGTAAATACCTTTCTTTATAAAATGGTTATTGCTTTGCTCCAGACTCTGAGGATGATACAGAAACAGGGCTCCAGAGCAGTGGCATGGCTCCATGGCTCTTAGGGGGTGCAACAGGGGTGCCGAACAAAGGCTCACTCAGCCTTGCCCAGTGCAGGCCATTGTGCCAAAATGCAGGCCCAGGACTGCCATGGTTATGTTTTAATTTTTGAAAAAGAGTAAGGTATATACATACTTTTAGTGAACTGTATTTTTAAAAGCTAGCACCTCATTACAAACACACAAAACAAAGACAAGAAATGGTTCTGCTGACCACCTAGAGCATGGTGGTCCCTCTTCCAGGGCAACTGTGGTTGGTGCCTTACTTCCAGACTGGCTTGTCTGGTCGTTTGATGGGCACTGCCCTGTGGACAGTCAGGCAGTCGTTTGGAGGTGTCATCTACATCTGGGTATGTGGGATTGAGGGGGTAGTTTAGGCAGCTCAGAGGGACAACTTGGACCCATCAAATGTTTCAGATCATATACATTCAATTGTACTTGTAAATACATGACTTTTGAGCCCTGGCCTGTGTGGCTCAGTTGGTTGGAGCATCATCCCATAAGTTGTAAGTTCATGGAGTCAATTCCTGGTCAGGACACATGCCTAGGTTTCGGGTTTGGTCCCTGGTCAGGGTGTGTAGAAGATGTAATTGATCAATGTTTCTCTTTCACATTTATGTTTCTGTCCCCTTCTCTCTCCCTTTCTTCCTGTCTCTAGAATCAATAAGCATGTCCTCAAGTGAGGATAAAATATAATAATAAAATTTAAAAACATGACTTTTCAGCCTTTGTCTTGGACTTCATATAAATCTACTTAGAAAAAAGTTTTTGCTCAGTCCTTTGAATGTTATTCATTTTTCACCCTATTTGTATGTAAACCAAAGAATAAAAATAAACAAACTAAACCCCTTGTTTTAATGGCCTAATCTTCATCTCTATTCAACATCAGGGAATGAGCTGGTAGAACTATAAGCAGTGAGTCTTTTTTCTTTTCATCCAAGTTCCTTAATTGCTGTTTTTTTCAAATTCTCATCCTCAACTTATTCCTTCAAAGTCTCCGAAGTAGAACAGAATTACATTTCAAGGGAAAATTAGTTTTATATTTCTTCCTATTTAATTACTTAAAAATATCATATTTAACACACAATATAATTATATCAAGTTGTGGTTATTTTACATCTCTTTGCAAATGATGATTTAAAGGTCATTGTAGTACTTGGTGCTTACTTGGGACTCTAAATGATGCCAAGGAGAGACCATTTTCTTTGCATGATCTTTGATCTCATGTGGAAATCCGTGTGGCATGTGCAATGTACAAGCCTCAGCCCTTCATATGTGCTCAATAAATATTTTTGATGGAATAAGTGAGCAAATATGGTAACAAAGAATGATGACATGATTTTTTTTTTCAGAAGAGCTCTCCCTTTAAGAAGTAAGGTAAGTGTGTATAGTTCATCACTGGGGTTTGTGAGTCTCAGGTGGACAATCAAACCTCAGGAGAGTGGAGCAGGAGGAGCTGGCCTTACTCATCATCCCACTGTTATTCCAGTTCTACCTTCATCTTTGTCATATCAATGACAATTGAACTCTTAATACTTTTCTGCAAATCATCTGAACAAAAAACTAGAATCTTTAGCAAACATAACATATCATGAATTCTTCATTAATGTTGCTTGCATTTTTGGATCTGAAGACTTGTTCTCCTTTGTTAGAAAGGGAGACTATGAGGGGTTAAAAATAGTCAAGACTTCTTTCTATCAAAATAAGATTTTTTTTTTTTTTTTTTTTTTTGGTGATAGAATCAAAAGGTTGAAGGAGAAAACAAGAATGATTTTCCATGTTATTGAAAACTATAGCACATCTGTGTACCATCCAGCAGAGCGTGGTCTAAACGTGGGAAATTCTGCTCTAGTCCAACTTACTCCTATTACAGGGGAGCAGAGGAAGGCCGAGAGCAGCACAGAGACCTGCCCAGTTGTAGAAATGAGATCCGACCCTACATCCCAGAATTCTTTCCACCCACCACAGAACGATGATGCCTGATCTCTCTGCCCACCTGCGAAAAGATGGGTGGCTGCATGAAGGAAGAAGTCCTGAGGCAAAATCCAGGGAGAAGCGGGAAGAGCCGGGCACTGAGGCAGTGACCTGACAGTGGTGTGGACGGGGACTTAGGGGGCTACTGGGGAGGGGAGGTTCCCCTTTACAGATGGACCAGAGAAGGAAATGACTCGTCTCAGTTCTCAGGGCCTCTCCTGGCCGAGGGAGAAGTCCAGTCCCCATCCCTGCTTCCCAGGCTGCATTCTTTATTTGGCACCAGGCAGTTCTCCAGGTCGGACATCCCTGCTTGTTTGTAAACTCTAAAATGGTACTCGTTCCCTATAAGTAAAAGGGCGCTCATTTGTTAAAATGGGCTTTTATTGTTACTTCCCATTCACAGGAAGAATTTCACCTCTATCCCTTCAACCCCTGTCCCTAGAGTCCTGTTTGGGGCTGGTTACTTGCCTTTACCTCAAGATGCCCAACACAAGGGGACAGTGTACCCTGGAATAATTCTGGCACCTGCCGCACTGGGTACTCACAGCAAATCTTTTTCCACAGCTCTCGTTGCCACAGCACCCACAGCAGTCATTGTTCTTCAGGCCCAGGAACACAAGCGCAGGGAAGAGCATCTATCAACAAGAGAAGCACCTCAGAATAGGTCTGAGATGTGAAGGAAGACCCATTCTTTCTGTGTGGAGCCACAGCTGTGACATGGGACGTGGTAATCAAAGGAACTAACAAAGAATGGCTGGTGGGGTGGACAAGTGTTCTGAGTATTTAGATGCCATTTGGCCTTACCACAATTTCAATGGAACAAGATTTCAATATCTGACACCCTAAATTTCCATTTAGATGGTAGGTTAGGAGAAGACAAGAAAAAAAAAAATGTGTCCTTGATTATTATTAAAAGCGTCTCTCTAGAGCAGAAGTTCCCAATCCCTATTCGGAACAAAGAGTAAGTAATCCTTCATGCATGAGTGGAAGAATAATCCACTGACACCTACTTCTCTGGGTGGTTTTCAGTCAATCAACTGGCTAGGAAGTATACTTCCACCCATCTGCTCCCCTCTCCCCCAGCACCCTGTCTTGTCAGAATAAAGGAGTTCTGTGGCCTTTAGTTCATTCCTGGAACTTAATTGATCCATGAGAACTACTAGTCCAAGTTTAAATTACCTAGTAAATTTGGGGGACATGGCATCCTTGTCAGGTGCTAATTAAGAAGGGAAAAATTAAGGCACCGACTTCATCATGCAATGCTTAGGCTGTTGTTAGCAACAAAATATCTTCATGGTCACTAAGTGCTCAATTTTAGAAGTACGGGGTGAAAATCTCCAGGAGAATTGTAAAGCTTTCCTACTCACCAAGACACCGCTTCCTAATACTCCTCCAAAAAACCAGACCTCTTCCGAAAGGTGTTCATTGTCGTCTATCACGTTTCCTCCAGGGAAAAATAACAGGATGTTAGCCAGACAGCCAAACACAGAGAGGGGAATCAGTGTGCCCCCCAGGCACTTGGCACAGCCCCCGGTGCACATGCTGGAGAAGTATGGGTCAGGTCTGGGAAAAACTCCCTTCACTGCCTCCCTCACAGTGTCTCTTCAAAGTTCTCGGCCAGAGGGTGCTAGTAAATGTCCCAATTCAATCCGTATTTTGGACCTGAGAAGCAAATCAGCCTGTGAGCTGTGTCCGTGGAGTTGCTTCAGCTTCTCAAATATAGCAGAACCTCGATAGCGATGGATATTTATATATTCTCCCTGACCCGGAGCCCTTTTTTTTTTTTTTTTTTGCACTCCCATAAATGAGATTATGTTCAGTGCAATCATTTGCCATGGAGACCAATAACCTCTGTTAATAATCCACCTGTGCAGACAAGATACTCATATTGTTGCAATCAAACACAGGGCTGGAACAAACAGCATTTGGACCTACTGCACCTTTAATCTGGTAGTGCCCCTGCCCAAATAAAGAAATATTTTCCCCAGGCTCTTTATAATCACTGTATAATTAAATTACATCCTAACTAAACTCATGTCTCTGAAGTACTTGATGGTAGACAGTGTGTGTCTTTGTTTTTTCCACAGCAACCCTGATATATAAGGGTTAGTCCAAAGAGCTTCTGTTTTCTTCAATATAAAAGTAAGAATTTGATGATCTACTTTGGTAACACTGAGCTCAGGTCTACAGGAATTTTTTAAACAATAGATCAGTGTAACTATTCATTTTATTGCTGGACTGCTGTATTTCTATACTTGTTACTCCATCAAGTCCGATCTCCTTTCCTACATGATGAGGTGGAATTGGAAAACAGTTAGCCAATCACCTTGTTCAGCTACATCTCCCATGCAGGAATAAAAACTTCTACCTTCTAAGGGAAAAGAGATGTTGGCATGGGGTAGAAGAGAGGAAGGATACTAGCAAGTAGACTGGAGACAGAGTGGGCAAAGTTGGAAGAGCAGCTAGAGAGTGAAGGGGCCACTGAGATGTGCCTCTACTGAGCGTTTTGCAACTGCCAGGGGCAAGATTCAGTTACTAGTTTGTGATATTTTGTGTCACTGAAGGAGGTCTCTGCCATGCCTAGACCAAGCTGTACATTGGGCAATGACCTGCTTGGTACTGGTGTTAAAAATGTCTAACGGGTGGAACAGGGAGCCCGGATCATGGTAATTCCTGTCCTGCAATGGAGTTTTCTGCCTCCCACCGCCAGAGAAGCAGTGAGGGGCATTCTGCCAAGACTCAGGGACCTTTGGCCAAGGAGGCTGTGGACCAGATTCTGGAGAAATCAGTTTGGATGGGCTGAGGCTCCTTCTAAAGATTCTATGAAATTTGTACTGGTTGCTCTGTAGAGATACTTTTGGAGATCTCATGTTTGGGATGAGAAGAGAAACAGCAAGTGTTTAACTGAGCATGCATAATATACTGAGCATGAAGAAGCACTTTAACTGTGCCTCATTCTTAGTGAAGAAGGTACATCTCTTCTGCAGGTGAAGATACTCCAATCCAGCTCAGGAAGGCTAAGTATATTATGCAAGGTCATTGCAGCATAATAAGGGGGAGCTAAAATTTTAAATCAAGACCATGTCACCAAAACCTAGCTTATGGCCTTTCTAATAGATTTTCTCTTAGAAATTAAAAAAAAATTTTTTCCAATAAAATGACACTATGTGTACAGTATCTGGACACAGTAAGGCATACTTCTTTCTGAACTACAAACAATTGTGATATTTTTCTCATTACAAGATTGCACGTGTGTGTGTGGGAGGGTGTATTTTACAAAAAAGTCAACAATATAGAAAAGCAGATGGGAGGAAAGAAAAGCCAGCTGTGTCCCCACCACACAAAGTGATAAGAACTGTTATCACTTCATTGGGGATTGTTTCCCAACGCTCCAAGCAGTTGCTAATAAGCTCTATTTACAGCCCTTCGGCTTTGCTAGAGAGTCTGGGGATCAATCCCCTGGAGAAAGACACAGCTTCTAGAGATGTAAGGGCTGAGTTAACCACTGGAGATGCCACCTTGGGACAAAGCAGCTCCCTTTCTTTCTGCCTCTAGAAGTTAACACTGTGGCATTTGATTAACACTAGTCAACCCACAGTCCTGATGTCTTAGATTTTTTAGACTAGCAACTGGGGTTGCCAATCTTTACTATCTGACTGAGTGGCTGAAAGCGAACAACACCGTGGACCACAATCAGTTTTCTTCTTTTTTAAGATGTGGGATGTGAGTAACTGAAGGAGAGGCCCGAGGTCATTTATTTTTTGCGAGGAAGAGAAACACTGAAAGAGAGCCACCCTTCTGGGACTTCAAACACTTGGAGGGTGACTAACTCATTTATTGTTCAATGATTAATTGTGTCTTCGGACCTTTAAGTAGGAAGTGAAATAACTTATCTGGACAAAGGGGGTGATGGGGGAAGGGAGGCTTGGTGAAAGTCACCCTCAGGAAGGAGTGGGGATCACCAACAACTACTCTAAGCACTAGAGAACATTTTGTGAGATTCGGAGACTCTTTTCTGTGATGCCCACACTTGATGGTTTGTGGCTGGCCTCTGTTTAGCAGTGAAGCCCTTCAACCAAAAAGGCCAGAACCCTCATTTTCAGAGACAGCAAGGAGGAGGTGGTGAGATTGAGCCTGACTGTGGACGCAGGCCTGTGGGAAGAAGGTCTCAAAAGTGAGAGCAGGTGGCAGCTCTGGAAAGAACAGAAACATGGTTGAGAACTTTATGGGAAGAAAGGAGAAGAATGCAAACATGGTGGCTGATTTCCTGGACCTCATACTCTGGGGGGTTTGACTGCAGAGGATGAAGCAGCAAGAAGTCCAGGGGTACCTCTCCGAGATGTAGGCACTTCATTCCTGAGCCAAGAGAGCACAGGAATAGGTGTTTCCCGGGTGACTCATCACCAGTGGTTAGGTGAAGCTTGCTACTGTTTCTCATCCTGTTAAACTTCTTTGCCCTGCAATGGATGAAAAATCATCAATTCAGTGCAATGCAACACGATCAACGCTTGTGTTTGAAGCACCTGTGATGTATCTGCCAATGTGCCAAGTGCTGTCCTAGTGAGCAAAATAAATCTGATTTACTTTATCCTCAACAGTATTATAACTAACCTCTTGTCACCAGAGACAAGGGAAATCATGACAGAGGTTAAATGTGTTAAATGCTTCTTAGCTGAAGAACTAGGAATAGAGTCTTCTGCTTGTCTTAGAGTGAATCACTCTCATTCATTCAGCACATCAGGGAGGAGGTGAGGAGCCTCAACACATTCATACTCAGGTGTTACAAAGTTTAGGTCCCCAGCTTTGCTTGCCTAGATTATGGGACAGTTTCATAAAAGTGATTTCCAAAAGAAGGAAAAAATAATAGAAAATATCAATGGGCATTGCATGTAACAAGAAAAAGAGCCATTTTATGAAACTTTTATATTTTTTAAATAAATATTAGGTAATAATGCAGCATGTTTTGTTTACTATAGGTCTCCAATCAAAACATAAAGATCAAAAGCATTAGTGAGAGTTTGTGATCTTTATAAAATGAGTTAGTAATGTTTATAAAATGTATTTCTGATGTTATAACCTCTTGCTGAAAGCCCTCAGGAGGCTTCCGTGGCCCTCAGATCTTAAACTCGGCCCTCTTTGACTTGGCTTCCTGCCATATCAAGTTGACCATCTTCCTACTTCCTTTTCTGCCCCCTTCACCTACTTCCCTCTTCCACTCCTCCAGGACTCAGCCCAGCAGTTCCTCTTTCTGAGAAGCCTTTTTAATCAGAAAAGTGTTTCACAGTCAAGATATGTTTCTGAAAATCCGGATAACACAAAGTTTAATAGGCTTCTGAATGGCATAACATTTTAAGGCTTTTAATTTGCAAATTGGCTTGCAATTGTTGAAAGAAAGTTAGGAGATAGTGTCCAGTGTTACCCAAACTTCAATGTCCACAGAACTCTTCTGCTGTGGAATGCCTTGCAAGACTAGGATTTCCCAGCACATCCTTTGGGAAACTTGGAGTTTGCTCAGTTCTCAAGTGCTTGTGATGGAATCTGTGAAGGCAGAGAGGTGCGTGGTCACTGGGACAAAGGAAATGCAATAAGAGTGAAAGCTGAAGATGGGGTTTGTATGATTTGGGGAGATTGTGAGGAGCTGGATGCACACTGACGCTCCTGAGCTGGGAGCAGGGTTGGGAGCCAGTCCAGCCTCTACTGACCTGAAGAAGGGGAAATATCTAGCTTGAGGGAAAGCAGTAGCTATTCTTAGGTGAAACAATGAACTCTAATGCTTTAATGTTAGAAACATTGTTAATACTTCCTCCCTGAGTCATTTTAACAGGAGCCTTTCATAAAGGGGCCACTTTCCTGGGAGATGCAGGACCGAATTGCGTACAGAATTAGAAGACATGGAGCCCCTTCTCAGGCTTCCCCATCTCAGAATCCAACCAGAGGTATTATTCAAGCCCAATAGGAGCCAACATTATAAGCCCAGCACCCACCTAAGGGCTCTGTATTACAAACTCATTTAATTGTCAGAGCAACCCAATCAGTATTGTCCATATTTTAGAGATGAGGAAACCAAAACAACTAGTTTAAGTGTTCTTCCGGTTATCTATTACTTTGTCACAAACCACCTTAAAACTTTGTATTTAAAACAGCAACTATTTGATTACATATCACGATTTTGTGGTCCAGAAACTTGGGTAGAGATAACCTGGGTGATTCTTCTGACCCAGCTAGTGCTGATTCTGATGACTTGTTCCTATTTAGCTAGTAGCCACACTGCGCTTTACTCACCTGCTTTGCTGAGAAGTCCGTAAGACTGGGCTCAGCTGGTCCCCTCTCTCCCCACCTGCAGTCTCAAGGCTCCCCATGTGGTCTCTGCAGCAGCGTAGTTGAATTTTAGTTGCTGGTTCAAGGCTCCGAGACACAAGAATTGGGAGCTGCCAGTTTCCAAGACCTGGGCGAGAAACTGTGAAAGGTCACTTTTATATTCCTTGGTGAGAGTTGTCACAGAGTCATCTCAGATTCAAAGGAAGGGGCATATCCCTCATCTCTCCTTGAGAAGAGTGTCAAAAAATTTGTGGCCATCTTTAACCTGCTACAGTGGTAAACTGATTTGAACCCAAAGCCTGGTTCCTGAGACTGCACTCTTAATGACTACAATGTAATTCCTTGATAATCTGAAACTGGTATTTAATCTTTGATCAACACTAGGAGGGCTGCCTGAATGCAGTTAGCTTCAAATCAAGCGCTTTTCTCAGCCATTGGCTGAGTAAT